ATATTATTGCTGAAAGCTCAAAAACTCGCATGTGCTGCTCAAAAACCTATGGAAAATGTTCGAACGTGTGATTTTCTCGGAAAATGGATTTGAAAAACGGTTTGGTGCTTGTCAGAAAGAGCAAATCCTGCACTTTCACCCATGGAAAAAAGTGCATCACAGAAATGAAAATGAAGTGAGTTATGCCCGCTTAAAGCCCAAAAACTCGCGATTTCAAAAAAAGTGTTCGGCAAAACCCCCCAAAATGTTCGAACGTGTGATTTTCTCGAAAAATGAACTTTGAAAAACGGTTTGGGCTTGTTAGAAAGAGCAAATCCTGTACTTTCACCCCATGAAAAAAGTGCATCACAGAAATGAAAATGAAGTGAGTTATGGTCGCTGAAAGCCCAAAAACTCGCTTTTGCACGAAAAATGTTCGAACGGGACAATTTTTTGAAAAAGGGGACAATCACTAACTTTTTATACTATTTTGTTAGAGAAATATTTGAAGTTTCTGAAACTTTTTACAGATTTCCAAAATGTCGCATACGAAAGATTTTATGGGCCTTCAAAGTTGAAGGTGCGCCTTCTTAGAATTTTGGGTTTTCCACTTCTAACAGAAGTACTTTCCGGAGAGTTAGGCAATCCTTGTAGTTTTCTGGAAGCGCACCTCAGGCACAATCAAAATCTACCTCAACAAGTCAAAAAATACGTCCCAAGAAAGTTATTCCCCTCTAAAATTTTTTCTTCGCCGCGTCCCGTTCTTCCAGCGCCCGGGTGATACCTGCCGCGCTCCAAGGCCGACGCGACGACGCGCAGACGCTTTCTGGCGCGCAACGCCGATTCATGTCTAGCACTCTTAAAAGGGGGGCGAACCACGACCCCCTATCGGAGAGCTAGGGTCGCCGAAAAATCCCGAAATATTCGAACGTGCCCACGCCTTGACACCAGCTTCCGACTACCAATTTGATTGTTTGCGCTCACATCACTCGGCGGCGGGAGAAAATCATGAATTATCTATTTAAAATGAAGTCGCCAACTTTTTGACTAACCAACCGCCACCCGTTTTGGCCTTCAAGAAACGAAAAGTGCTGCAGGGAGCACAGGTCGTGGGAAATGACGGATGGAACAAGCAATAGAGATTCTTTTAAAACAGAAACATGAGACTTCGAAATTGAGGAGAAACTTTCAATCAGGTCTGTTCTTCAATCCAATGAATACCTTTATATGAGCAGTAGACGAAGATTATTCTCGCAACACACATTAGTGCAGCCAACGTGAGGATTGAGGACACGAGAAGAAACAGGAACTGAGTGTATCTGTCGACTTTGCTTTCTTCAGGCCTAAAAATTGGTATCAACCTGTTGGGAGTTGAATTGCGCAAAAACTCGTCAAGACGGAAATCCTGATAATCGCTGCTTTCATTTTATAAAACATTTTCAACCAACTTGTATCCTCTCAGCATACCAGTTCGATGCTTTTTGAATCGTGTGAATGTGGTACCGTTGTTGTGTTCATCGCTCCTAACCAGTATCGAAAATTTTCGGATGGAGTTGGGCAGTACGAAACATTACAGAGTATCACTTCATTACATAAACCAGAACTTTGGTGTGTCGGTTTGTCGGTGTGTGTGTCGTTCTGTCCGTCCGGACCAACCGCTCAAAAACCAGGGAGTACGAAGGGCAACACTTCGTGATGTTGATGTCATGATCATGATAACACCCACAGCGGCTATATAAACACCGGTCGAGGTTGCACTTTATTCTACATGGTGCTGCCGTGGCAGCCGGATGAGCGGGGGGTAGGGGGGGAGGGGGGAGGGGGGGTAGAGGGAAGGGGGCAAGAAAGGGGAGGCTGGAAGGGGGGGGGAGAGAGAAAGAGGGAGGGAAGGGGGAGAGGAGAAAGGGAGGGAGAACATGGCGCTGCCATGCGCCGGAGAGAAGGGGTATAAGGAGGTATAACACATTCATGTAGTGAGGTGGTTAATGGAGTACGTCATGCTGCTATTCCGTGGTTCCTCCCTACGCTTGATGCGCGCGAGATGCGGGCGGAGCCAAAATAAGGAATAAAAGCCGTCCCAAACGATCCTTATGCTTTCTCATCTGATATGAAGATAATAACATCCAGCTAGAGACCCCAACGGCATAATGTCATTGGGCTCATTATCGGATTCTCCTGGTCGGGTCACGCTGACCTGCGATAGAAGTCCTCGGCTGTGGCAATGTTGGAGTAATGTCGAAGCCATTGTCAGTGGTCGGAGGAATGTGACCAGAGCCGCCAAGGTTTGGTGGCAAGAAGTTCCGTGATCGGTCTTCGCGCGATTCGCCGCAAATTGCATCATCGCAGGGTGCCATAAAAATCATCAGTGGCGCGGGAGTGAAGCAGTGATGTAGAAACGGCGACAGACCCGAAAATGAACCGCTTGCCCGCGTTGATTCACGAATTGCGACATCTTATCGTGTAGCTGGCTCTTCAAGGTAACGCTCGGAGGTTGCCGGACGCGGACCCTCTTCCGGAGAATTGCGTGACGGTCTCCCCTCGATGTCCGCTTGACTTTCCACTACCGGCAATTTCCCCGGGTCTTCCTTAGACCTTATCGTGTAAGTCGCTCTTTAAGCATGGCCAAAATTGATCGCCCCTCCCCCTCCCTACAATCATCGCTGGAGGTTCCACACGGCTCTGTCAATAACTGCACCTCTGATTGACACCGAAACTATCATATTTGTTCTTGTTGCGAGGTCAACTGTAAGCGTCCGAGTAAATATTTTGGCCAAGAATCGCACAGGTGATAACAAATCAAACAAAACTAGTTTCGTTTGTTCATTTGGAAGACGCAATCAATTTTTCGTTCATAAAGGACTTGGACCAATGTGATTCAAAAAGGGCGGAATCAGCTGGGAAAATATCTGCACTGACTTGAACTCCCTAAAAAATCAATCGATTGTTCTGGAAGAGCCTCACCTGTGTGTGGTGGTCGAAGTGCCCTGAAGCTGTTGCTGCCTTCCGAAAGGCTCCATTGTTACCGGCATGTGAGAACGATTCTGAGGATGATTCAGTGTAGTGGAATAATGGACGTTATCGAGCGGTCAACGTTCGTTGAAATCTAGCAGCGAAGCGGTATAGGTATAATAATTGCCATTGCAATGGCAGAAAATTGGGTAGTTACAGCCACAGTAAAAAAAGCTGCGCTTCGAAGCGATGGAAGCCATCATAAAATCGCAAAATGTCTTTACACCAAAGCAAAGACCACAAAGTCCTCGCAGTTCATGAATCTAGGAAACGGCTTCGACTTTACTGTTATCAACGATGTTACTTCAAACGTTCAGATCATAGATTACGAAAATATAAATCCTACTATATATAAGCGGCTAGCGTGTGTCTGTTGGTGTGTGTGTGTGTGTGTGTTTTGAACCGGAAATTCATAGCTCGAGTCACAGTAACGATAGCGCAGTGGTTCTTACATATGTTATAGGGGGTGGGATGGGGACACAAGTGGTACGTGATAGGAACTGATAACGACTGATAATAGCTGATAAGAGGGGCTAGAAAGCGAGCATCGCCAATTTCGTTTTGCCGTTCATATTGGTAAAGAGCGTCTATACTTACAAGTCTTATGTGGGGCGGTCCCGGGACATTGGTGGTACATGATTGGAAGCGATAGCAACTGATAATGGCTGATAAGATGCGCTAGAACGCAAAAGTCGTCGATTCCGTTGCCTGGCTCGCGTTGACACCAGAGCAACCATACTTACAAGTGTTATGTGGGGTGGGACGGGGACATTGTTGGTGGGTGCCAGAAACTGATAACGATTGATAAGGGCCGATAAGGCGCGCCAGAACGCTGAAGTCGTCGATTCCGTTGCCTGGCTCGCGTTGACACCAGAGCAACCATACTTACAAGTGTTATGTGGGGTGGGACGGGGACATTGTTGGTGGGTGCCAGAAACTGATAACGATTGATAAGGGCCGATAAGGCGCGCCAGAACGCTGAAGTCGTCGATTCCGTTGCCTGGCTCGCGTTGACACCAGAGCAACCATACTTACAAGTGTTATGTGGGGTGGGACGGGGACATTGTTGGTGGGTGCCAGAAACTGATAACGATTGATAAGGGCCGATAAGGCGCGTCAGAACGCAAAAGTCGTTAGTTCCGTTACGCAGCGTTGACACTAGAGCGTTCCTACTTACAAATTGTAGTAAGTCGTAGTAGTACAAACAAAGGTACGTGCACATTATTTCGATATATATCCAGCTTACTTAATAGAATTCGACTGCATAAACTTTAAAAAACAAGTCTTCAGCAAATGATAAGTTTCATTTCTGACTATTAAGAAAACCCAAACTCATTAACCGCTAATCCTTTCGTGGTTCTAAATAATGATGAATGTAAATGAATGATAAGCATTAGCTCCTCACTTATGTAAATAGGCATATTTCGTTTTGATTTTGAGACTGACAGCAATCCTATTCACCGCTAAATTATCTTAATTCAAGAAAAATGCTGGATGTTTACAGTTGTGATCAATATACCAGTTCAGCTCTGACGTTATCACGCGTATTCTTCGATGAGCTTCAGTGAAACTGTGGAGGGGGTCTAACACAGTCAATAGTGAGATGGTTAATGACTCATGCTTGGATATTCATGGTCCTCTCAAACTTCGCTTTAAAGCCCGCCGATGTGATTCCGCGCCGATAGCGGTCCCCGAAGCAAACACTGTGTGTTATAAGCTGAATGGGAACGAAAATGGTCACACGAAGTGAAGAGAGAAAAGATGAATAAGGTAAGCGGTCATCGCATTCAAGGCAAAAACTATATTGTACATATACAGGGGTGGCTAAAAAAAAGAGACACTTACCTCCACATTTCAGACAGCATTAATCACACTTAGGTAGAATCAAATGCTGCCCCGACTTCGTACTATGTAGCGTTTTATAGATTAGGACTGCCCTGTAATACTTAAGTGTTTCGGGCACGACGACATCAGAGATTTTCCCACCTGGGGCACGCTACACGAGCATCAAACGAGGTCCGTCGAGGCTACCACTAGACCATTACCGGCTTTCCTAGAAATGCTGGGTCAGAAGCGGTCTTATTCACAGCTAATGTCTCTGGAAGCTATTCAACAATTAATCCATTGAAGAAATTATGTAGCAGCTTCAGCGATTACGGTAAGCCTCGTTGAGCTCGACGGTGACGGCAGATGACGTCATATTCTGAAGACGGTGGGGGCAGTGAAGGAGGGCCTGCTTCTGCTTACGGGGGAACACCTAAGGAATATTCCGCCGTAAAACTTTCATTAACATCGGCACCCTGTGCGACGAAAAGTTCGATGATGTGCGCCATGGGCAAAGTGTCTCTTTTTTTGGCCACCCCTGTATAGAATTACTTGGTACGGAACTTTCCTGAGAAGTCGTAGATATTATGCAATGCACCAACTGGTGCTATTCATTGACGTCGTTAATGACGCCTTATATCACGGCTAACATTAATGACGACACACACTCATGTTGGGGTTCACCGACGAAGCCATTTTCATGAAGAAGCGGAAGTCACCAAAACTTTACCAGATTACCACAGTTTCGAGCGAAAAGAATTTGAATTAGGGTTGATCGAGAACTCATACAGTAATGAGTCATTTTAGGTTTTTCTTAGTTTCCCTTATTATTAGAGGCAAGATCCGGGATAAAACAGGTGTGGAAAAGCGTTATGAAGCTATAGGTGAGAGGTGGTCTGGAAAAGAGAAGGAAAACAATCAAAGCAGGTCTCCTCCTGTTATGTGAGCCAATTTCCAGTTTTCGTCGAAATTGTCCAGTAGCAAGTGGAGCTCACGCGTGGGATGAAATCTTGAGTCCTATGTTGTCCAAACCACAAAGCCTTTTATCCTTTCGGGTTTGAATGGACTTAAAGTAGGAATAAAGCAGCAAGTTGTACATCGACTGGCCCTCGGAAGTGATTTATAGGTCAAATCCCCATATTCAAACGTCAAACTCCTCCATGATCCAACCTCCTGGATCTCACCTTCTACTCACGCGATCCACAAGATAAGGGTCAAGTTTTAGCCGAGCCTAGTTTGGTCTTCTTGTGTTTTGCCCAGAACTCTACAGGCATTTTCGAATATGCCATAAGAGTTCGAAACTAACCCCATGCAGTGAAACTCCAGTTCGGGGGGGGGCCACTCCATTTGCTCTCCAATACTAAGGATAAGGATAAGAGTTTTCATGACACGTAATCGATTCATTTAAATTACTTCTGATAAGGACCGGTGTAGTGTGGAAGTACTCCTAAGGTGCTTTCAGATTTCGGCCTGCTGTGGTCCAAGGAAATGGTCCTGAACTAGGGTATGGACATCCTTTCCTAGGCACAAGGGTGTAGGAGCCCAGGGTGGACGATCACATGCCATAAATTGCCTAGGATGTGAGCAGGATGTGCGTGATGTAGGGCATACACCGGTCTTATTATCAAATGTGCACTTAAAATGAGTACCGGGTCGGAGTTTCCTTGGGCTCTTAACTCATGTCAAGGGCAATAACAGTATCTAATGAACCTGCAGATGCGATGCAAAGTAGACATTGGTATAAATTTATTATACTTAAGATTCAGTAGCGATCTCTGTACAACAATATTACCCATTATGAACATGCTATTGCTTGCTAAACATATTTATGATGCAGTCTGTGTTTCAACAAGAGCTGATGCCCGCTACTCCATTCTTACGCACCCCGCTCGCCAATCGCGAACCATTCCTCGAATATAATGTATGCCTTTCATAAGTTCCCACAAACTGTAAAGTTTGCCCTAGTGACAGCTGCTGCTCGAAATAATTTTTCAAAAATAAAATCACGTCATTCACGCTTACTGCCTCAGCTTCCAGCTGCATTCCATCAAAAATATTACAGCATGGGGCTTATCTTACTCGCCATACTGTTGCCCGCTCTCGTCAATGGTGTGACTTCTTCCGGGCTTTCCGTTATTGAAGTCAATGAAAAAAATAATGTCCATCATCTACTACACCAAGGCGACATTGTGTTATCC